GGAGGGAGACTCTAAGGTGGGAAGGAGGACACAGGCGCCCGGGGCTGCGCCTTGTGTTGGGGTCGAAGGAAGGTCTCGCTGGGGGAGAAGCACCTGCGTGAAGGCCTGGGGGCTGGGGAGGGTCCGCGTGGGCGCCGGGGAGGCGCAGGCCGGTGCATGCACGCGCTCCCCTCCCCCCGCCGACACTCTGCTGCCTCGTCGCATGGGGGCTTCACCCGGAGCATCACTTGCTGTGCCCAGACAGTCCTAAAACCTTGACGGGGACATTCACTAGCTGCAGGCGGGCCCACGGTCCCCCAAGATCACACCACTGCCATCCTCAGGTCTGGGGACCCTTTCTCCCACCATGTTCTCTGGGGAGCTGGGCCCAGCCCCAGCCAGGAGGGGACTGGTGATCTGTCTGACCGGCTCGTGGCTGAAGGTCCTGCAGACATGAGCACAGGGTGCTGCCTGGCCGCGGTGCTGGGTGATCTCTGCAGTGAGTGCCCCTCACAGCTGGGAGATCCACGGCCTTACCAGGCCTGGTGTAACGCCTGGAACAATGGCAGCCACCCTGTGACCATGAGGGGAGCTAACTTGAGGTCAACCCAAAATACTGACGATTCCAGGGAGAAAAAGATGGCGGAGCTCAGATCTTTGGTGACATCATTCAGCTGCCGCCTTAATCACCCTGGAGCCACCTAGACTTCCTTTGTGGGACACTGAATGGCCGTTATCTAAGTCAGCTGAGTAGAGGTTTTCTGTTACTTTCAGCCCAAAGCACTAGCTGATACCCATTCCACCCCCACACCCCTGGCGTATTTAGGACCCTCTTTCGACAGCTCCCTGAAGATGTGGGCCAGGAAGAATCCACTTCCTGCTCCTGGGCCTGAGGCCCGCGGTGCTGGGACACGCACTGTCAGCAGGGCAGAGCCGGGGCGCAGGCTCTTAGTCCCCACGCCACCCTGGGGGCGGAAGCTCCTCGTGTGTCTGCCTCTTGGGCAGCCTGTGGGCTCACCCCTCCCCCGGGGCAGGGAACCACCATATCCTGGCAGCTCAGAGCCCCTGGCCTGCCCAGAGCCGGTGCCTGGTGGGTGCTCAAGAAAGGTGTGCTGGGCCCTGGGAAGACACGAAGAGGCTGAGGACAGGGGAGAGGAAGGACGGGGAGGGGAGGGGCGGGCAGGGGTAGCAAGCTGGGGAGAGAGGGGAAGGTTCCGAGACAGCTCGCAGGGAAGGTGCCCGGGGTGGGGGAAATCTAGGCTGTGAGCCAGGATGGAGACCAGCGGGGCCCGAGGCCAGTGAGCATCAGAGGCCCCTCGGGCACCGGCCTCCAGCCCCCTGCCTCCTGCCTCCTGCTTCCACTCTCCCACCTCTGCTCAC